GGGAAAGACCGCTCGTGTAGTATCTTTGGGGTTGACAAAGTAATGAAGGAGCGGTTGTCGAATATCTGCCGAGCCCCTCAGCGCCAAGTACAATTTCAATCTTTCACTGTTGTAGGTTGTCACCAAACCTTCAGCAGATGTATCAAGCCCCCGATTCAAGCACATGTGAAGTACGTATACCAAACCCATCAGCGGATGGATCACTCATGTTGCAGTCGACGGGAAGCTTGGAGCAAATACCTATCAAAGATATAGAGAGAAGCTAACGCGCCCGTGTTGCAGCATCAAAGTTATGGAAATTAGAAGGCCCATACGAGACGAAACGAGCCAGCACCGTGACCGAAGTTCAGGAGTGTCGATTATAATTCGTCTTGACGTGCGGAACGGGGTCGAAACTGGGATAGACTATTTCACAGAAGCCAATGACGGATGAACTCCAATCGCTATCATCGAAGCTATTGTCATGTCCATGAATCAATTGCAAATAGTCCGCAGAGCTCCGCAGCAGCGTGCGTAGCACCAGGCTTCCAACGCGAGGAAGTGGAATGCGGCCAGGGCTGGGAATGAGTTATTTCATGGATTTTGTAAATACATGCGACGGCTAGTAGGAGTGAATACAGTCATCTCATCGGATTGTACGAGCATAACAGATCTGCTGATACGGTCAGCCACTGCAGTATAGCCTTAATGGTGATCCGTGGAGGCCTGTGATATTGGACTTACTGGCCAGCAACCATGTAAACGATGTGCAGATCACAGCTCGGGTACCGCATTTCGATCGCCGGGTGGATGTGTATAGTGTGCGCGGTACAGGTAACCTCTTCATCAGAGGACGGCTGATAGCCAAGCGAAAGATGTGCTATCCCGGAACTAACCAATTGGTCCAAAAACCAGCAACATTAGTGTTAGGCTCCGAAGGTTGAGTCACCGCCGTTGAATAGCGTTCGCCGATTTCATGAGTCCCGATGGTGAGTAGACTGGCCGACACGGAGTTTATTTTCGCGGTTTCCAGAAGGGGCGCAGGAACGTTAGCGACTGAACCGCGGCGGCGCCCGACATCCAGAAGTAGAATCTCGCCTCATCAGACTGGCAGTTACTGGACACTTGCGAAACGAGTGCAGATGATGCACGATTGAAAGGCTCGCGAAAGAAGACGAGACGGAAATGGTGTTGCTGTGGTCAGATCCGCACAGCCAATAGGGAGATGCCAAGCCCGCGATGGCCCCGGCGGTCTCGACGTCATCCCCGGAGATTCGACCTTGAGATGCTCACCACAACTTCTCCAACCACATCACTGAAACCGCGCTTATCGAACTCTGATCTGTGTTCTCGCATAGTCCTATTATCACTTTCGTCAATGCATATCTCAGCACCCTTCTTTGCGCGCATTGGGACGCGCAGAGCTGAACCAGCTCAAGGCGGCGGGTATCCTGCTCTTGCGCGCCAGTCGCAATCGAGCGAACTGTGCATCCACATCAGCGCGCACAACAGTTTGCGCAGGAGATAGCGCTGCGCTGGATGCGGCGGCACCGAGCTAGACTCATAATGATCCCAGATACCAGCATGGCAGCGCCAGCGAGGACTCCGACCGGGGCTGGAGTACCAACTCACTACCTAGGCAGAGGCTACATATGATGAGACGTAATGCCTCGAGTTCATCGCCGGGTCTTCACATATGCAGCACTCAGGCCCGCTATAGCATCGCGACAAAGGCGAGTTTGGCACATCACAGGCTGCGTTGGACAAGTGCACAACCACTCGCCGACAAACGGGAGTCGCCATACGAACGAGCGCTGACTTCCAGATTGTAACCCGTAGGTTATTTGCTGGTATCTCGCTCTTCTGCAAGACCTACCCTCCCATCACGCATCGATGTCAACCGGCCCGCCCCCCTCAAGCTCACGGTCCGAATCTGCTTCCCGAACCGCGAACGAGCTCACGAATCATGAGCATTTCTGAATTGCAGCTCGCGTTTGTCATTATGACTAGGCATCCCGACTGGACAGACTATGGCGCTTCAAGAAGGCCACGACGGGCAGCTCCAACAACAAAAGGCGCACCATCAGTACAGCTGCAGCGCACCAAGGGAGCCGACACGGTCGTACTTTTACAGCAGAAAGCATGCTTTGCCGGAGCGCGCACAGGGATGTGCAACGCCTCTGGAAAGACCTGACACAAGGAGATGGCACCTTGCTTGGCTGGTAAGTTACACCGCCGTCTCTCTCCGAAGTCATATACTGACCATGCTGTTTGGCGCAGCTCTCAGCTCTCCTCATCCTCTCTCTTTCGCATGGAACGCTATCGAAGGCGATGCGACCGCAAACCACGAATACTACCATGTCTCTACCCTCTACGAATAACCAGGCTCGTCTTCGTCATGACGCAACGCCAGACAGGTTGCGATATCGATTGCGACGCTCGAATGTGACGGGTACAAGGACAAACATCAGAGGAATTCTGGAGGATTCGCGGCTGTAGCTGCGACTTGGGCAAGCCCTAATACCTGGGCTGTCGCATGGTGCCGACTATCGCTCGGAGGTCGAATGCAGGATGAAATAACCTTCCGCTTCTGGGTATTTCACGCCGAAGTACGACCACCGCTTCCCGAAACGTGGACGAGACCCTCCGGTATAAGGGCGCATTACGCCACACTCAGCTCCGCCACAGTATCCTATAATCCATCTACAGCGCGACGTCGGGTTCGTCACGTAGGCGTAGGCGGAAGGTCAGGAAGTGATGAGACTCGGCACGCACGAGGTAGTTTGAGCAGGCCTTCTTGCTCTACTGTGTCGTCTTTATGGCCTTGCAGCAGGTATCGCGCGATCGTCGTGAAACGACAACTTACCGCATATGCACGCAACATCAGGTTTTCCATCAATCAGCAGCTCTATGCCTGCTGCGCGATAGCCGTCAACCATGTTCACGTTCAGTCTGAAACTACGAAACAATATCACACTAAAGGGAATGTAGCCATTCGAACATCAATTGGGAATTGTTACGGCGTCTACTTCATATCAATGAGCCACCCATCCGAAACTCCAACGCAGCTTAACGACTCCCGCGGAACTCTCGACTCATTCCTGCAACTCTGTCATCGACCAAGCTCTCATTCACTAGAATGGTCGTCTAGCCGGACATGCGCTAACCTCATGCGATATGCCAGACGTGATTAGGCTGTATTTACTTCATTCAAATCGAACGTGTGCTCATACTTCGCCTTGTTCGTCAAAGCATGACGAGTTTGGATGGAGAAGTTACGTGGACATATTACGAGGACTTCTTAGACACATCCTGCTGTGGTTATGTACGGCCAAAAGGTATTTCTGGGCGTTGTACTCTTTTGTAACCTTTCCGGTACCGATCACACCGCAGATGGCTCAGCGGCCAAGATGCCATCTATGGCGTAGAACTTTAGTCCAGGATGAACCTAGACATTTCAATATACTCATAGCTTGCTGCATGCTGTTACTTCTGTGTGTTGGAGCGACCCTATTTCTACAGCCCTAAATCCATATCACGATGCGGTCGTCTTTATCTCGCATGAGTGGGGACCACTGCACAGCTTTCAGAAAAGATAGTGTAGGGACTTTCCTCATTTTACTGCGTTCAATCGTTCATTGACGTACTTTGAAACAAGACGACACAGCTTCTGCCCGGATAAGATTGCCTGAAAGTCAGCCATGATCGTTGCCAGTGATGGGCACAGGATTCACGTGACAGCGCGATAAGCGATAAATGGGGCCAATCGCGCGACGTCACTTGCCCCTTGCTCACCACCTGGGCACTCTCATCCGATGCATCATGAAGCCGTTGTTCCACACCACTCTCAACGTCGCCGCCCTGCGAAAGCTTCAACTCGTCGCGATTGATCCAACAGGTGCATTACCCAGGCCGAAGCCGGTATGAAACGGTCGTCGTTCTGTGCAGCCGTGCCGGCACCCTCGTGGGCATCATCGACATGACCACCACCAGTGTAAGAACGTACAAGATACCTCCAATGCACCACCACTGACCGCAACTAGTACATCACTCTGGGTCCCGATGTAATCTGCGCGTCCCTCATACTAGATATCTCCGCATCGGTAATGCTCAAGATAAACCAGACGCCAGCCACTGCAATTCACGACTTTGACCTCAAGCCCGACATACCGTAGCGCATGCCCGCACGCGCATCCGAAACAAGCACGACTACACACTACGGCGGCTGGGGATGATGAGGAGAGCCACTGGAGCTTCCAAGGGATGCGGAACCGCAGGATTGGCCCTGTGTGCTGAGAAGTCTGGAACGCTGGACCTCATCGCGCCTTGATGGAACGCCGTCGCAGGCTGGACGTGGATGATGTTGCGTGGTCTATATGCATCATAACGGACGCGCATCTTCAGTCTCCCCTGCATGGCGCCTGTTCGAGTAGCCATCGGGTATCTAGTAATATCCCATTCCGACGGCACGAGGCAGGTCACTGTCTGAATCTCCCACTTCGCCATGCTAACAACGACAGAGTTACGCTCTTCTAGATCGCGACGCAGCTGAGCTCGATTAGCTACCAATACCGCGCCCATGTCATAACCACCCACACCTCAATGGATGCCCGACGGACGAGACGACGCATATTCCAACGTACACAGTGTCACTATACACACGGGAAGGGGCGGAGTGTGACTGCGGCCTAGCTATGTGCTGTACCATAAGAATACGGCTGGACTTCACACGGAGTGAGAAAGTCTTTTCACGATGAGCTGTTCAGGTCGGACCGTGGCTCCAGATCAGCGCAAGAGGGCGGTAGTCTCTTGCAAGATAACCGGGACGCAACACTCATCGTCATGGCGCATTCGTATTAAGTTTCGGCGTGGTTATGCCATCGCGCAATGGTACATTAAACACTATTTCTGAGACGCCCCGACCATCCAATCGACTCCAAGTGAAGGCGCACTCAACTTGTCTTATGCAAAGCTTCAAAGATAGAGCCGACGCCCCTGCTCCGGCATTCCTTTCATCCCCTTTACGCATACAACTTGATCCCCTCCAGATTCACGTCCACTACCCGATCGGCGCACAGCGAGTCGAACAATTTCTCCCTCATATATTTGAGGACCTGCTTTGCTTCCAGAGGAGAGAACTGCTTTTCGACTGAAAGGTTGTTGTTGATGACTCTGAGGACTTTGTCGAACGGTATCTGTCGCGCCTTCGGTTTCGTAATCGCGAACAACGTGTACAGACCCGTGCGAAAAGCCCTGTAGCGCCCTGTTTTGACCAAGCACTTTCTCCGCGGAGACTTATACCCATCGATGGGGGAAGAAGGCTCCGTGTCCGAGGCTTGCTCGTCATCTTCGCTGGTAATCTCGATGGGGCTGCTGCCGCGAGAAGCGCCGGAAGGCACGTCTTCATTCAGCTCGGCGCCTTGGGGTGCAGATGTGGGAAGAGACGGAACTTCGGTTCCGCGATTTTGGTCGATCACGGAGAGAGGCGTAAACGCTCTTACGAGACTCTGTTGACTCTTTACGTCGTTGTTGACCGAAACCGAGCTCTTTTGATGTTGGGCGATCCCGATGTTATCATCGCCATCGTTGTCGATGCAGATGGGCGCGGCTTGCGTACCCTCAGCAAGATCATCGAGAGTTACTCGTGACTTCAGAGAAGTTGGCTCGATACGAAGCTGGCCATTAGTCCGGAAGCCAGCGGTCTTCTTTCCCTTCGGCACCACGGACGGCGCTGCCTACGTTTACATCAGCTCCATGCTGCCGGCAATGCTCATGTCCTTGACGCATGGTACTCACTTTCTTGGGCAGTGAACGATTCTTGGTCTGACCGTTACGACTGCGTGGGGCACCGAGTGTGCTCTTCTCCTTACTCGCCTTTGCAGAACCAGCCGCAGCTTTCGCATTCGGCAACGGCGACTATGTCGTCGATCAGAAACTACTTGAAGCCGATGAAGCTGTCTGCATACCGGTTTTCGGATCCTGAACCCGTACTTGCTCTACATAACCTGTTAACATCGAGTGGACTAATGGCGCACGAGGGGTCAACGTACCAGCGCCATGCTGACTGATGGGGTATATCAAGCAACGATACTCTTGCTCCTAATCGCAAGAGAAAGGATAACGAAAGAATTTGCTGGAACGCCATCTTGTTGTGGAAGTGAACGCGCCAAGTCGAGATACCCCTGCTGTCGCCCCGGGTGGAAAGGCCGCAGGAAAAGTGAACGTGGGTCGGACTCGCAGGGCGAAAGGAAGAGCGCAAGGTGAAGAAGAACGTTCAGATGGCCTAGAGCGACGGCCTTAAGATACTCCACACAGTTATAATACTGTCAATACCGCCCGACATATGAACTGCACGCTCGCGTGCACGGGGTAATGATAAAGGATATATGCAGTGTTCTCAGTATGTCAAACGGTTGGCGTGGAAGTCATAGTGGATCACGTCCGCACAGTTGTTCAAGAGAAGCGTTCTTGGAGCGGTGACTGTGGTTTCCTCTGGAGCGAGAAAGCGCGCACGGATCAAGGTGCGGAGATTGGTATAGCGAGAGAGGGAGAAGAGGGAAACACCGGTGGGGCAAATCATGAGCGCCTAGGAGTCAAAATTGTTTAGGCAACAATTCTATACGCACCATCCACGGCGACACGGCTCTGCGCTGTGATTCCTTAGCACGCGTCCTTATTGCGAATCACGTACTACGACCTCACGATCGACAGGCCAAATTCGCTCACGCAAATCATGACGTCCAAAACCTTGGAGCTCTCGGATATCTTCGAGAGTGCATGGGAGACTATCTGTGCGTCGCTTCCAAGGCTCCTGTTAGTAAAGAATGGAGGAAAGGGCACGACAAAGAGCAGCATGCGCCACATGTTCGAGGGTCATTTGGGGGAGTGGAACATCCAAGACGAGCTGGAGGACTTCTTAGCTGCTATCAAGCCAAGGTGAGTAGTAACCCTATATGAGCAGCATTGGGGACAAATACTGACCATCTACACCCGCGTATAGTTTCGATAACTGCCCAGCCATGACGAACGTGAACACTCCGGTGATTCTCGTATATCATCCAGACTTCGTCGCAGACGAGGGGGTTACAATGGCGGCTGAAATCGACGTCGATGGGCGCATCAAGCAAAATCTGGCAACGCCAGTGCGAACGGTTTTACATGCGCTTGCAAGATGCAGATCCGAAGCCGATGCAATGCTCCTGCCCATTCACATTGAATGCTCCAGGTAAGCCCACTGCGCGACATGCATGTGAAACATTCACTGACGTTGTACCCGCCGGTTCCCAGCTCTAAAGGTGAGGATGTCAAATCACGCCCGAAAGACCAGGAGCCCGACCTCATCCTCAATGTTTCCGACTCGAACGGCGGCGATGAGACAGTGCGCATCATAGGAGAATTCAAGATGTGCACGACTCATAATCTAGCCAAGATGATCAAGGATCCCGCCTCTAAAAACCCAGGATCGTTGCGCAACCTTCTTGGTGAGTTATGACATGTCTCTGCGAGTCCGCACAGCATTGCCACACCAAGCATTGAACGTCCTCGATCGCGCTAACTCCCCATCACAGGGCAGCCCGCCAAGTATATGTACAAACACAAGATCAAGTACGGCATCGTCTCGACTTACAATGAGACCATCTTTCTCAGGATCGAACCGCGCAAATCCAATCCGGAAGAGTATGGTCTTTATTACTCGCCCGTCTTCCGCTACGATACCCCGACTTGTGTGGACGAGGGGAACAACGTACACACATTCGGTACCCGCTTCACAACTCTCTTTATGTTACACAAGGTCGTCGATGATGGAGGTGAAGGCTGGAGGTTGAAAGCGAGCGATATTCCGAAGCAAGATGATTGGTACTCTCGGACGGTTGCTGCCAACACTCCCTCAGCAGCTGTAGGGTCGCCCTACTTCGGCAAAACACCACTCTTACCCTCCGAATCACCACCCTTACCCTCCAAATCACCACCCTTACCCTCCAAATCCATGATTCGGCGACTGCGTTCCAGGAATCAGCTCTCAAACGTTCTGACACCTATCAAAGAATCGCCCATGAAAGCTGCGAATGCGATCAAAAAGACGGTAAAAGGACTGAAAGACAACTTGAAGCGGTCCAGGGCACAGAACACAAAGAATAGCCCGTCACCAAAGCCCAGGTCTCCGCGCAAGGTCAGCTGGGCAAAGACTCCTCCCCAAAGTGCCGAGAACTCCGAGGTTACAGAGTCAGCGCGCAGTCTTGAGGTGGCTGATATCGACGATGGCGATGATAGCGAATACATCGACGATGGTTTTGACCCGTCTGACGATACTGATGGACCTGATGAGTTTGATGAAGCGGGAGCGCAGGCTGAGAACCTTGTTCGGCTGCGTAGACTGGACCCGAGTACACCAACGCCAATGAGTAGAAGGTGAAGAGTTTATCATAGCTGAGCCAAGTAAGGCAGCTATGAATAATTTTCGGGCATGGAGAAGCGGTTAGAGATGCCCCAGCTATATGCAGAGTTGGAAGTCAGCACGGGCGCAGTAGGTGACACTGACCTGGGATATCGTAGTCAGCTTTGGAACATTGAACGACGGTTCGTTGAAAAGGGTTGGTAATACTTTGCATTCTTCAGAGCTCTCTCTTCGTATCGATGTATGTGAACAGATCTTAGGAGATCTTAGTGGTGTATACCCAACAGTACATCTAAGAGGCTCAACGTATAGGCAGCGGAGCGACGGAGTTCATGAGTAGATCTGATCGGCTCTCGTGTGCATGAATGGCACCTGGGCACTTACGAGACTCGCTGTTCTGGCTTACTCAATTGCGGCCCTCCATGATGATTACTAATTGGTTCTTAAGGGGAGTAATACCTTTCTCGAGACTGCAATAATAACTCTTTGTTTAACACATTCAATATCAACTGCGAGACGTCTCGACTCCAGGCTCGAAAGCGGAGCCTTGAATTGGCCAATGATCACTGATCCATGATGGCGCTAAGTCGGACTGAGCTAGTACCAGAGTTAGCGCATTTCCGACTGGAGCACAGGTAGTCGGCCGGTGCAACAACACACTGAAGCCCTAACATCGATCCACCTCCGCATCATTGTACACGCTGCAGTATTCTCCGTTCATATCTCTCCAGGATGACCTCTCGTCCCATCTCCAACACTTCGAGCTCCTCCAGCGACTCTCACAAGCCCGAGAGTGATGTTGCCCCCAGTCATGCGAAAGCCCGCAAGCCAAGGCCGTCACCCAAGTGGCTGCGCGACAATCCATACGTCGGCAAAATCTTCCGCACCACCAAGGATGCGCGATGGAAGATACTCGCACCGCTATCAACGCTGGAGTTCCAGGATGACCACAGTCCCTGCGAAGCGCGCCAGGTCTACACATGTGTCTGCCTAGATGAGCCCTGGAAAGCCATCGGCGAGTGTGTAGTCAAAGTCAAGTTCCAGTAAGTAACAATCCTTAATCTCCTAGACATGTTAGTAACAGTATCAGAATTCGCGCGAGTAGGCGTACAGTTGAGGAGTACCAGGAAATGATCGATGATGGCGAGGCGGAGCTACGTGATCAAAACGACACCAGAGGCACCAGATTGCCTGCATACAAGGATCACCTCAAGCTGTGCACCACACCTACCACTTCACTCTCGAGTCCCGCGACAACAAATGAGATAGAAGCTCTTGACCGTCTTGGGCATGAAAAATGTCAGCATTCTCCCTGGCTCTGTGGTACGTCTGAAGGCACGGTGCGCCCGGGTTTCCATTATGAAGCCATAGATGGAGGCTATCGTGTCCTTATGCTCATGAACAAGTTGCCTGGGGTGACTTTGTCAATGGACATGTTCTGTGAGATGGCTCTTGAGAAGAGGAAGGTTGTCCGAGAAGCCTTCAAAGTGGCATGGCTGTAAGTTTTCCTCTACCAACCCCGGGCCTATCGTGCTGACTTTTTAACAGTGCCGTGGTGAAATGTGGGGTTGTGCCAATCGATCGTGGCCTGCACAATATCATGTGGGATCAGGAGACTTGCAAGTGGTAAGTAGGCTCCCTGTTTTCCTTGAATAAAACGCTAACGCTCGCATTGTAGTTACCTTGTTGACTTCGAAGAAGTTGACAAGCTTCGCGCGAACGAAATGAGCGCTCCCAGCCTAGAGGATGACGAGCTGGACATGTGGATACCTAATGAAGATGAAGTCGCAGAGTATTTGGCGTACTAGGATGATCGACCTTCTTGCGTTGGTCAGTGGTCGACTGGGGGAGCGCCCGTGGTAAACGGGGTCAGACATCGGGCCGTTGTTCAAGGAGCTTGGTCTTCAGCACATATATTTGATCGCGATAAATACTCACGTGTGTAAGCTGATCCATACAATTTCGATCGCATAAAGACACTGCCCGAAAACGCATCTGTGATGAACTCATGAAGTTCGAAATCGCCGCGGAAGTCTTCCTTTTCGGGTGCTAGCGCGGCCGAGAAAGCCCCGAGCCCAAGGCTGATTGAACGCCGCGTCACCCCCTCGCCTTCTCCTTCGCAACTTCCAGCACTTCCCTGGCTAAGAAGCTTCGCCCTCAGCGACTCGTTGTGAGCCACCAACCGACACTGCAACTGCTCTGATGTGCTGAATCCAGTCATGCCTTCTCGGACAGACATCAGTCGTCGATGACCTTCGTACCTAGTTGGCTTCAACACGTCAGCGCGAAACCCGACTTCGCCCGCATAGCCATCGCCACACACTTTGGGTGTCGAGATCTTCCTCCGAAGTGGCTGTATCATGATGGGTGTTTGTGCGTGGTACTGTCATCTCCACAATGCCAGTTACCCATGATGTGCCTCATCGAAATCACCACGAAAAGTGCAACTATGCTATGGAGATTAAGGCGAACGCAACGAACTTCGGAGATTATACATCATGAGACGCGAGGTCGTAGCAGTGAACGGCACATGTATACCTAAGTTTATTCCCCGTCTCATCTCTTCAATCGTCACATCCTGTCTTCCTTGTCCTCCAGCCTGCTTATTACGCAGTACAACAATGCCCTATGAACGATGAGCTACATGGCATTTGTGCAACAGGGTACTTGATGTCGCCAACATCTGCATCGTATTTCGCTCCATACACTCAACTGAACTTAGACAGGTGAATACTCACTAAGATAATGTGTGCATTGACTTGCAAAACAAGCGACAAGCATTGGGGCCAACCTTGAGAAAAGACGAGAGGAGCGACACCAAAACCACATACAAACGAAGTTGAACAAGAAGCCACAAAAGAAGCATCCACCAGTGCACCATACCCGACGATGAGCGAGAAACCATACCTTCTCCTACCGACTCCGACGTCCTCCCTTCTCCGTACAGCCAGAGCCCGTCTTTCATGGCTGCAGCATGTTTACGACCCCTCGCGCCTTCGGTCGAACTCGTCAACGCAATGCATAATTGCAGCGACACCCAGCTCGGCGCACGAGAAGATCGCCCTTTCCTTCTTCCAAAGGCGCTCGTCCATCCTTTTCGTCTTTCCAACCTTATGCGAGATGTGGAAATTATGGAAGTACCCGCATATCTGACAAGGCAAGCGGGCCTTGATGTTATTGTTGAAAGCGATACCAGGACTAAGAGATGGAGGAGCCTTTTTGTACGGTGACTTGGTACCTTGCGGAATGTCATGGGCCTTGAAGTTGTTGATGAGGTCTTGTTTGGCGCTCTGCATAGCAGGTAGGTGAGCGAAAGACTTTGCAAGGCCATCCCGGCGTTTTTTTAGCAATGCTTGTTGGCCCTCATGATTCCACCCCATGAACGTGGAGCGGACGGTGACCCAGTGCAGTCCTCGCTTTGGCTCGGCGACCTTAGATGGAAAGATAACATAAGAACAAATGGGAAGGACTCTCCTTCCTAGGCCAAGGTCTTGTAACGTCTCCTTAAACGACCCAACTAGGTTCAGTGTTAGCCAGTGTTCTTCGAAGGGTGCTATGGCGAACTTACGAAATACCTTGAATTGTTCCGGTGTCTCTGGATAAATACCGGGTTCAGCATGTACGTTTTCGGCATGTACAGTTTGAGCAACAAGTTCGAGGGCAATCTCCGAAGGCGATGCTCGCACCTCATGCCAATGAGCCACACTTCGAAGGCGGATCTCTCTTGGTAATAGCTTTCGGAGCGAGTTGATTACCTCCCGTAGCGCTTGCATCGTCGCATTCATTTTCGGCACATCTTTCTTGAACATGGCTTTGGCCCTGAGACTGACAAACCTCGGATGGAGTAGTCCATACGTTTGCCATCGAAGCGCTCTAGTCACGTCGTCAATGTATGGGTACCACTGTCTTCCAACGCTGGAATTCGGGTCGCTTTTGGCCCATTCGGCGTTGAGATGAGTGGTAGATGGCGATAGATCTAGATGGCCCTTCTCTTTTACGAGCGTCTGGATGGCCCTCCCAACTGAAAGAAGCGTATGTGCGTCTCGCGCGAATGTTCCCGCACTGTCTTTTGGATCGTGTGGAATTGAATCGAGGTTGACCCTCGCCGTCCATGATGGCAGATCCCGCACAGCATCAATACCAAGACTTGCTCTGCACTTGCATGGTATGCGGTCATTTGTAGTATTGTTGCCCGGAAAAAATTGATCCAAATGTACTGAGGCGATACGTTCACAAACTGGACATACTGCTCTGCCAGTAGGGTGTATGAAAGGTACAATAGGTTTAGGATGCAGCGAGGACAAAGGGCAATCGGGAGATAGAGCAACGATTGGGGGCGTTGGAAGTGTAGATTTGCATCTGATAGCAGGCAATGAGCGATATGGTCGATAGGGTAGCAGCATTGATGCGCAGTATCTTCGATGGATTGATACAGAATTCAATCTTTGCATAAGCGCCATTGGCAATAAACTTATCGTGAACCGTTCAAGATGCGTATACAACCCAACTCTCTGCTACAGGTACTTTGTTGTGACCCAAATACCTGATACCGCTTGCTACACCTGCCATTGGCTCTTTGATGAGCTCTGGCGAGAAGCAACTTGCGCTGTCGATTTGCGACGTTGGAACTGCGTCGAATCGACATGCTTGCTGCGCGTCTTGTCTGGAAGCATTCCTTGTGCCAGTGCTAGACCCGCTTGCGCTCAGCATGATTGCCCTCGTCAGATCTGAAAGCATTCTTTGGGCCACGATTGGCTCTTCTTGAGTTTGACATGTTGACACACTCGCGTCGGTGGAAGGTATCTTTGTTCGTGTTTCGTTTGGTACCGCTTTGTTTAGCATGTTTGTGAGGTTACTATTGCGAGATTATGTTTGCACTGGAGCTTTCTTTGCCTGGTTCTAAACATTTGTGCATTCATTCAAAAAGATATGCAGACTGGTGTCGACATTGCTCAGTTGTTGTGGAGAAACCCGCAGGTTGTGGCGGCGTTTGTCACCGTCTTGCCACTAGGATAGAGTGCGCAATCATCTAAGTTGTGTGTTGTAGACTCAACAGTCTGGTGAATTTGCTTCCACAATCGTTCGCCGCTTTGACGTAGTCGCACAGGAACCATGTTTGGTGTTGCAGCCGCTATGCATAGCACAATGAATTTCTCCGCTCGGAAGCCTGGGCAGATCAGTTTGTCCAAAATGGTCTACTAGTTGATCAACATCCGTGCGAAATGACTTCACTACCGAGATTTTAACAATAATATCGCGACGTTGATAATTTGGGCGTGACCTTTGCTATCACAGTCAACGCGCTAGACCCTCGCTAGTCTCACCTCTAGCCTATCAAAACCCCTCTTACCCCGGGCACCTGCCTGCCTCTACTAGTGCCTGCGTACCTCATCTACCTGGGTATTAAACCTCAACTTACCACAACAATCTTCGCGCTCATGGCATTCTCCCGTCTTCTTCGGCGTGCAACACCTCTCTCACTCCCCGCCCGCCTTCTCAACCATCATCGAATGTCGACGAACAAAAAGGCACGTCCACACCTGCGTACGCTAGGTTTTGGCAGGATGGCTGACACGAACGAGAAAGCGCGTCACGTTGGGGCCCAACAATATGCAGATTTCTCTAGGTGGCGAGCTAGCAACGACAAGCACGCGCTTCCTTTCAAGCAACAAATTTGCGAGTTCTTTAAGGTCGATGTAAGAACTACGGTGTATGCGCTACTTTGAAGAAACTTACTGACTTCTTGTGTCAACACCTCAGATTGAAGATGAACAGAAATTTGGCGACATCTTGGACGAATACATGAAGAGATGGGATGAATATGCGGAACTACGGATGTCTCAGTCGGGCGGAGAGACCGATCTGGATAAAGTGCTTCGCATGAACTTCAACCAGGAGTCGACAGTCACTCGTATGCGGGATGTTGAAATGCAGCTATCCAGCCGACACACCTACGGCATGGGCCGCGACAAGAACGTTCATCTTTATCTAGAGGTTCTTCCAGCCGAGCTCACCGCTCATTACGCCCCTCCAGCTATCAGCGAGATCAATCATTACTCCAACGCGGTCTCCACCCCGTTCATATACGCCAAGCATCATCTGGGAAAGCGACACGGCAGTGACGATGTCGCCCAACCCCCACAGTCTGGAGGATCGTTTGGACCCTTGAAACAAACGAAGTGGATGCGGTTCGAAGCTGACCCGAATGCAGCCGGGAACGCGCAATCCCCAAACCTGTACAAGTCGAAGTTGGTACACATCGGGATCATCAACGCCGAGGAGCACACCAAGGACCGCGGCATCAACACGCAACAAACACCATACGCCGCCGTAGGGCAGGTTGGAGATAACGGTTTCATCAGTGGGATCTACGCCATCCCTCTGGATCTGAAGGACGACGAAGAAGAAAACGAAATGTCGCCGTCGAGGTGGTACGATCTAAACGACCTGTGGAAGCCAGACACGGTTGGTGTCTACTATCTCGGCAAAACGCTCGAAGAGTGCAGGAACAACAAGTGGGAGTTGGTGTCTGACGGCCCGATCGAAGTCATCCACAAACCGGAGGACGAGTAGTGAGTGGACTATCCGGCCTTTGTTGCATGGAGCGTGAAGAAGACGTGCTAACCTCCATCAGAGATGTGGCTATGGTGTCGAGGATGTAGTCTTATGGGACTGGTGTTGCTTGGTCTTCAGTCCTGTCGTGAGGCGATGTCGGAGTCTGGCGAGGTCAAAAGGCTTGATACTTTTTTGTTCTTCTCGCACGACCTATCACTACTAGGCACCACTCCAAGCTGGCTGTACATGTTGCGGTCAGCGTTGTCGAGTTGGTGATGGTGGCTTCAAGCGGTAGCGAGAAGGTGATGACTTTGATGCGCGCGATGGTTTTAGGCATGTAAGCATGGACTCCAGTAATGAACAGCTCACCCAATCTTGTCCGTCGTGCGTTGGTCCTGGGTAGGTGTAGCGAGATGTCCCAGTGCTGCATGCCTTGTCAGCGCCAGTCAAGCTTTGGGTGTTACCTCGGTCTATGGGAAAGGTAGGTGTATCTTCCAGCCAATTGTGATCTCGCTAGTTTGGTCGCTTGAGCTGGTGATGTATCTCCCTGGAAGAGATATTGCCTGATGTGAGACGTATGACTTTTGAAGGCGTGGGTTGTACATTGTCCTTGTGACGTTGTCGGCACTGGTCCAAAGGATAGCCATGTTCAGTAGGATACACGAACGAATGGAAGTCCAACATCCACATGGTTCGTTTTGCTGATGATGCACGCATTGTAAGAGTGACTTCATGCAGGCATCAAGTCACATTGGTAGAGGAGAAGTGTCGATATAGGCAGACGCGGGCTTGCCATCGCGACCAGTCCTCTGCGGAATAGATGGGTATAAGCCATTGCGATACTCAGCTGCTAAGGCGCGCACGTTGAGCGGATATGACGCGCAGTCGTCTCCTGCCCTCACCGAGCGGCGGGCACCTTCATGCCGGAATGGTCTTTCCAGAACGAGGTAGCCGGGCCCAACTAGATCTGTTAATGTTGTCATCGCGTCGCGCCTATACTGATGAGCTGTATTTGAGTTGGAAGATCTTGCGTAAGGGAAGAAGATGCGCGTGTTGATGAATGTTGCGAGTTTTGACGCGGCTGGCGATCCCAACACGGAGCTATCGCGACATGACCACTCCCGCGGCGCTCTCTTGAGCGCTATTGGCGGAGGCGCGAGTCAGCCCGGGAACTTCACAACCCATCACCTACGGGGTCTGACTTTTCCCACAGCCGCCATGCCTTCTCAATCAACGATTTCGGACCAGAATGAGCTTTTTTGTAGAAGTGATGTAGCACCCTCTACATCTCTGATCAAGATATTGGCATGAATCTTGTCCGGTGTCTGGCGATAGGAGAAGCACCACGTCGCATGTATGAGTTTTTGCACTTGTGCCGGCGATGCATGGAGTGCGGCACATCGCGATGGTGTAAAGACCGTGTTCACAAAGCTTGGACTTGTTCGTGTTAAGACGGAATCAGCCTGATGAGCGGTAGCAAGACTGCACCACGTGTGGCGTGCTGCCGCGCTCCTTCCCTCCAACCTTCAACACACCAGGCGGGCAATGAACTTCTCACTGCCACCATTAAGTTTACCCGGGCAGAACGACATCCTTGATTTTTTAGAAGCCTTCCTCCCTTGGAATTCAGCCGGAAGTATACTTGAAGTTGACGCATACATCCCGTCCCGGAACCGATAACTCACGTGTAGAAAGGCAGACATGACACGAACCGACCACGAAGTATTGGATTAAGATAATGCTATGATGAGTACTTCTACTACTATCTGTTGCCTATATCTGACTCAGGAAGTTTCAACCTCGTCATCAAGGACAAGAACGGGTCATCACATCGCAGATGCACCACGGCGAAGATGAATGATTGACAGATAATGTCAAGCAAGGTTGTCATTAACTTATTAGATATACATAGATATGGATGGGTATCATCGTGGTAGTCATTATTCGTGTCTTCGTCTTCCGTCCGTCTTCTAGTATGATCCAATCTGCGCACCGGGCGGGGCCTCGATATCGATACGACCATGAGCCTGCGTCTCAGGGAGCCTGAGACTGGAAAGTCCAAGAACATCAGGCATGGCAAGGTCGGGAATGCCAGGATAGCCGGCGAGTCTGCGCTGCGTAACCCCCCACCTTGAATCTGTCCTTTCCGATCCCGAGTCCGTCCTTCCTCCTAACATGATCAAAGACGTTGTAACGCGGCCCTGCGCTCCTCTTAGCTTTCTTCTTTTCTTTGCCCTTGCCCTTCTTCTGTTTG